TCAAATGCTCGAGATGCCTGAGCCATTTATCAAAGTCTTAAGTCTCTTGGCTAAGCCACACACGGCACCGGAAAACTGCACTGTATTGTTGCATTTTATTAAATTTATTTGACATCGAGTACATTGTTTTAAATTTCGTGTATAACATAACCGGGTTTATTCTAAGCCACATGGGTACCACACCAAGCAGCATACATCTTGCCAATTGTATTAAAAGCAAAATAAATAATAAAATCATAAAAATTCGGTCGCACATGCTCGAGCGAAAAAAATAATCCGTGCATCACAGCAGAATGGTAGGAAAAAACGTGGTCACATAAAAAGAATGTGAAACAAAATTGATGGGTTCAGAGCGGACGGATACGGGCAAAGTTTTTGGCAATTGTGCACATACAACCGAAATGTGAACGAACAAAAAAAAACAAGATGAACAAATAAAGTTCCACGTTGTTTGATAGGTGAACAGAGTGAAAAAAAGATTGGATAAAGAGAGAGAAGAGATCGGCAACAGCAGAATCCGGTAAAGAGCGCAATATAAAATGCACATAGAATCTGAACGATGAGAAATTGTTACGTTAATTCTTTTGATCTGCTTTTTTCATTTTCCTGTATCCGTCATACTTCAAATAAACATACAATCAATTTTCCTGTCGACAATATATTTTGATGGGTTCTTTTTTCGCTTCATTCTTGTGTCGTGTCGTCAACGCAACAACATCCGTGTTCCATCATCGTTTCGGCGCTGCGCTTTCTTTGGGCGAGAAAGAAAAAGTCGTTTCGGAAATCGCTGATTTTTTTTTTATTTTTTTTTCGTCATATAATGACAAAAGACACATTGGATGAAAGTTTTTTTGTTGTTGTTGATGGTACAAAACCATCATAACTCAACTTCGCTCATTCGGATGGCACAAAAGCCAATCACATGCAACAAATGCGATCATACATTGGCACACGCACTCATATAAGCACAAAGACAACGAACGGCACCAAACAAAAGACAATGTCAACATGTGAATGCATGCTGTAAAAATGACATGGTTGAATGGCAAAATAAAATTTAAGTTAAGTGAATTGAATTCGAAGCAAACATAAGCACAAACTGTGTGCCTGTTGACAACACACAAAATCAGTTCACCATTGAATTGCATACCCGCTGCTATAAAACGAAAAAAAAACATGTTTAAATTATAATGTAATAAGCTCGTTTTATTCTCTAAATGAATTTATATATTCTTCTTGTTCCTTTTCATTCGGCGCTTTCTCTCTATCTTTCTATCTATCTATCTCTCTGTGTTCATGAAATGTTTTTTTTCTGATTCCGAGCAATGAGCTTGTCGAGAGCATATTTATCTGTGAGACACATACACACACACACACATTCCCTTCCAACAAAGATGGAAAGAAGGATGCTGCCGTCTTTTTTTTCTCTCCCTACATTCCTTTTTGTTTGCCACATAGTACAGATGCACTCTTACTTAGTATGCCCAATTCATTTACTCCATTTACGAAGTATTCATGTAGCCCTCAAACTGAAATTGCTTGCAAGCAAAATGCATATTATGGAGATATTTTCCAGCCGCTAACAGAAAAAATACGCACACAACCATTTCGGGATGGAAATGGCGTCTTGGCTTAACAGCGCGCGCTTCCCAAGCATTCGTAAGCACATACCGAGAATTGGTGAATAGAACACGCTGGCATATAACATCACCAAAGTGCTCATGACCAAATAGGCATATAAATTTTTATAACTGTTTTCATCGTTATCGTCGTCGTAGTTGTTGCTGTAGTTGTCGTCGTAGTCGTTCATTCAGAAAAAAAAGGAAGAGAGAAGGAATCGAAAAGTGTTTTGTGCAACAACTCAAGCGATAACAAGACAAGAACGACACAACCGCCACCAGAAAGCAAAACAGAAAACAAACCAGCGAAAAGAAATCAAGTCGTTGGATTTTTTTTGCATTCTTCAGGCTCGAGGAGCTAGTGCACGCTTTTGCTGCTTGTCGCGCACAAAGAGAAACATACACTCGGTGACGGAAAACGAGGAAAAGAACCATAGTCGTAGTCGGATGAAATACGATGGAATGTGTTTTGTTTTGTGTGTCGGAGGACGGAGAGGCACAACCGTGAAAATGAAAGCAAGCGCATCCGTTTAAAATGGTTTGAAATTGTGCAAGTAAAAGGCTGCGATTGCTGTGTGCCCACAGCAAAATACTACACTATGACACGTATATATATTCATATAGCATAAGGCACAGCAACCGAATACGAAACCGTGTGCAGTCATTGCCTGTGTCTGATTGCATGGAGTAACACGCGATTTGTGTGTATCGCCATCGCTATTTGTGTGCAGTGTACAGACCGAGTACGTGGGATCGAGCAGTAGAAGCAACAGTAGCAGTTTGTAAGCGAAGCCGAGCCAACGAGTACGCTTACCTCCCTGGGTTGTGTTCAGTTTGTCATGTTTCAACGATCCACTTTCATTCGCAATAAGTACGGTGTTGAGTGCGGATTGTGTGCCATCGGTCTTATTGTGTGTGTTCGATCTATTTGCTGTGCTGTTTTGTAAACGTTTGCATTGGAATCGTTTTTCAAGAGACCGGGAGAGAGAAGATTTTTTTTTCTATCTTCAAGAGCGAGCTAGTGAGTAAACGAAACAGACAAATAGACAGAGACACGCGGAGATAGCGATTGTAGAGATATCGCTTCGGTACAAATGAATTCGTTGAACTGAAAACACGACAAACAAGCAAACCCGAAATACAAAACCAAAACGCCAGGCATATCACCAGCAGCAACAAATGTTCTCTCTTGCATAGAGACAGAGGGAAATGGAAAAAACAAAACTAAAACAGAAAAAGTACAGTTGTTTTATATGTGTGTGTAGGATAGAGAGGGAGAGAATTCGTGTGAGTTTGGAATGGCAACAAGATTGCGAGAATGAAAACTATGATGATACCTTTCGCGGCAAAAAAGCGAATAAAAAATCACGGCAAATCAAACATCTAGCAACAGCATCACCAATCGACGAAGGCGACAACAACAACAATAATAATAATAAGGGTAGCAAAAAAGCAGCAGCGAAAACAAGAGAAAAAAGAATCAAAAGTAACACAAAATATAAAAAGCGAAATGGGAAAACAAACAACGAACAGAGAGAGTGGAGAGAAAAAGTGACACGTTCAATCTATTTTCAAATAATCTTGAATTTCTCTCTATCTTACTTGCTCGCTCGCTCTATTCATTCACGTTGCTCGCTGGAGTTCGGTTGTGCTTGGTGATATTATTGCATTTTTTATGGATTTGCGTTTTAATTTATTTCTCGTTGCAAATTTTCATGAAATTCATGTGCCCGCGGAGCAGAAAACATTGCGATAACGTTGCACTTTGTTTGTTTCGCCCGCGTGCGAACACACACTGAACTACAATATATCCAGATATGCTCTATCACGTTCGCCCAATTTTCTATCTCACCCTCACTCTTTCTCGCAATTCCAGAATTGTCTGTCGTTTTTCTGCATCACCGACAGATGCATAAATAATATGATGTTCTATTCGCGTGCTCACAACGTTCGTTCGTTCATTCGTGCGTTCGTTGGGTCGTTCGCTCACTCGAAATGCATACACATTTCATGGTGTAGTTGTAGAAATTCAATTTATCACTTGTTGTTCTGTCTCTCGTCAGTTACATTTATACATTAATAAATATATCGACCATGTGGAAGGTACACGGATTTTAAATTGGTTTCTGCTCATTTTATAAGTGCATTTGTTCTGGATGATTGTGTGTTGTGCTCTGATTCATTTGTCAAGCGAAAGACAGAGTGCACGTGAGAGCAAATACATTTTGCCAAAAATCACATTGTATGAAAATGCAACAGTTTATCAAATATACAAGTATGATGATGTAGTGAGTGAATGTGACTGAAGTCAACGAACCAAAACCACACATAAACTCACATGTATGAAAAGCTCCATTTCGATTGTGTAACATATCTGCTGTATCATTTTGTATTCCAATCATCAATTGTTATAAAATGCAATTAAATTGGTATAACAAAAAAACTGCACGTAGATAGAACCGCTGATGTTTTTCTGTCATCAATTCGTCAAATTCACCGAACAAAAACCGAAATGCAGCAGAGAGAGTGAGTGGGATAGAGAGGGAGTCTACGATTGGCATCGATTTACCTGAATAACTGGTTACATCATTTCGCTGAATGAACAACAATAATATGCCATTAAAAATGAAGAGAACGAATGCAAAACACTGCACCAACCAAATACGAACACACAGTGAAATCACGTGCCATTGCAATATTAAATTTTGTTCTATGTATTTTCCCTTCGTTTTGTAATCAGCAGCACAATTTAAACGAGTTAATTGTTTTTCCAGTGCAATTACACAGCGATCGGATAAATCATATTCATTAAAATGGAGATTTCGCTGCAAATTTCCATTTTGAATTTTGATGTGTTAACGCTTTGCTCTATTTACAAGTATCTACCACGCAAACGACGACGCACAAAATTGTGCTCAAACACATTGAATACATTTAACTGCTGCCAAAACAAGCGAGCATCAACAAAAATGATTTCATTACAACGACGGTGACATTATTTACCAATGTTTTAATCCAAACGAAGCGTTCGCATTCACGCTATCCACCACCATTCCATTCATTCAATTTCAAACTAACTACAAATAGTCGATTCGTGTTTGTTTTCATAACGGACGGGGCGACGCAAGGGGTTGGCTTTTTAGAGCCCGCGTATCAAATCGGAAAATTAAATGAAGAACGGGAAAAATTGAAATACGAATTTCATTTGTTAACTGTTCATTTTGTATTCGGCCAGCTTAAAATTGTTAATTAAACAGTACCGCGCTAATTTTACCTCATACATGAACTGACAGTAAAAAAAAACATCAATAAAAATCAATTACACACCATTCTATCATGTTTTAACATTTTTTTGTTGTTTGTTCCATTTTCTGATTTTAGGTATGACTTATGTGTATGACAGAGAGAAAGAGAGAAATTTGGCCGTGTTTCGAAATTATCACAACACGTATATGCAGTCATTCGGTGAGCGGTGACTCCAACGCCAAACACAGGAAATTATGATCAAATATTTTAATTCATGTGCTGTGGACAATATTTATTTGTCTGGGTGTTCGGCGAACTATTGTTGGTGAATAAAACTGAACCAATCACAGTGAAAAATAGACAAAAGTGAACAAAAAAACAGATTGAATAACTAAAAAAAAACTAGACACCAAAAAAAAAACAGAAATGAAAAACAAAAAGATGGCATATAAAATATCCCAACAAATTTTTCAATTAATCATCGATAATTTGCACGGTAATTTGCAATTGAAATAAAGCCAAAAAACGCAGTGAGCAGCAAATAACAATCAGCAAAAAAAATGAAATTCGCCTAATGGAAATAGTGAATTAAACCTCAAATCAAACTATGGCAATGCGAAATGACAGTTTTGATGGAAATCAAGCAGCGAAAAACACGACAAATACAGCACTCGAAAATCTAGTGTGCGTGGACAAAAAAGTAATCGCATTCCGAGAAGAAAGGATTTAGTGTAGCTGAGTAGTGGCAGAGTTAATCGGAAATTGTGCACTAAAATTGAATTGAACACACCGGTTGAAACCCGAACAAAAACAAAACTACATACTCGACTGCTGTCATCTGCGAAAGCCATTACCATAAGCTTATACAGTGTATGTGTGTATCGTACGACGAGTTTGTGTTTTTATTTTCTCATCTCTTCAATGCGCGGCCGTGTTCTATCTTTCTTTCTAGCTTTCAAATCCAGTAAAATTCCGACCATTTTTTTTTCTCGTCCGTAAATTTTTCTTTCGTTCATCTTCTATGGTGTGTTTCGTTCGCATTTGTTTGCGGTGTGTATAATGGATTTTCATTTCGCAATATTGCTGCTGCGGTGTGCGTGTATACGGTGATTTCGTAATTACACTAATAATGGATATTGTTTCACGCGGGTTGTGTGTGTGTTGCGTTTTTTTTCTATCTTTCTCGAATGTAAAATTGGCGCAATTTAAAATGTCAGCACCGTTCCGGATATCTGCTGTGAATGAATGAATGAATGACAGAGGTTTGTATTCAGCAAGCAGCTCGGATTTGACGAATATATACACACACACGTGGCACGGTGTGCAATAAACAGAAAAAGAACAACCCGGATTTTTTGTTAATACCCTGAGCCAGTGGTTACGAAACTGACGACGAATTTTTCCACACATACACACACACACACAGAGAGAGAGAGACGACGACGAAGTGAAACGTAGCAGCACGTTTATGGTTGTTGTTTTTTTTCTCTGCTCTGTTCATCTTCTTCGTCGGTTTGAACAAACATAAAGCAAAGTGGATGAATTGCATATTGCACAGACAAAAGCATTTTTCGCCGTGAATTGTATCCGTTAACGAGAAGTGAAAGCAGCACGGACACAAGACAGATAGAGAGAGAATAAGATAGACAGAGCAGCAGCCGGAGCACGGAAATACGCGAGCATCCAACAAAAGCAGAGCATCTCTCAAATGTGAGAAAAGATGTGTGTATATGCGCGCGATGCTTTCAATGAAAATAAATGAATGCGATTCAGTTAATCGGATGAGAAGCGTGAATATAGGAGAATTAAAAAAAGTACCAAGTATCGACGACGGCAACAACGACGGCGACGAACGACAACAATTTCTAGCAATCGACCCGAACTAAAGAGAATTGGAAGCGGCGACGGTATTCAGCTTTAAACAATCTTCGGAACAGGCGAAGCGAATTTAAGCATTGAAAAGGAAAGGAACGAATGAACGAAACGCCCCGACATAAGTGACACAAAAATATAACGATGTCATCATTACAAATACATTATAAGCAGATAATATACCGCTAAGCAAAGCAATCATACAGACAAAAAGCAACGGATATTACGGGAAAAAAAGCACAACAGAGAGATTCGCTTTATCTCTTAGCCATATAGGGAACAACGCTACACACTATTCTTTATCTCTTTTTCTCTTCCTTTTTTTGTGTGTCTCTTGTTCATATTATTATTTTCACTTTCTTCAACGACAACGGCAACAATAATAACATCAACGACGAAGACGACGACGACGTCGACAACGGTTTAGTTGTGTGCTACGCGTGTGTGTATGTGTGTGTATACAGCTTTTGTCGTGACTTTACTGCCGATTATATCGTATTATGAAAGGCAAATTCAATGCGATATTCGAAACAAAGACACAAGAGCGAACAAGTCAGAAGAAGAAAAACGTAGCAAACAAGTGGAATAGCTCATCATCATCTGACAAGCAACCGCCACCACCATCACCACCATCGTCACCGTTACCGTCATCGAAACGACCAGTGTCATAGGATAGATACAACACATTAGAAAATATAACAAGGCCATTCATCAGCAACATTGAGCCCAATTGAATAACGACCGGATAAAAAGGGGTACCGAAAATTTTTACACAGCACGAACATCTCTTTTCAACGAAAACATCATCAAAAGAGAGAGAAGGAGTGAAACGTTTCATTTTTAATAGATTTTTAAAGAGCAGCTAAACGAGCGACGACGACGACGACGACGACGTCGACGACAAAAACTCTATAAGCAGTGACAATTTTACTGGAAAAGGCCACAATATCGCACATACACACACTGTCTCTCATCCTTAAACTGTCTATCTCTCAATACCTGGAATATAACGTAATCGCCTCCCCCACTGCCATCCGTCGCATATTCAACAGCACTATCAGACGCTTTTATGAATAATCATCATCATCATTCCTTCACACTTTCGATCTGCTAGTGATTTTTCGGCACTTAAAAACACTTAAAAACATTCAAAACGCTCAACACAATTTTGCATTTCACTTGAAAAACGTTGAAACGCCACTACGGCCTCTCTAAACCTATATACACACACAAGCCATTGAGCCGACGGCCCATTTAACATACAAAACACGGCGAAAACCACAACAACAAAAAATATACCTAGACATGAAATTGGAATTGAAGCCAGCCCGACATATGCATGCTCAACACATCCAATTCAGGCGTCACAACCATTGATTTTAGAGTGAGTGCAGAAAAAACGAGAAAAAAGGGAGCAAAAGAGAAACAGCAACCGACAACAACAACGAGACAGTAGTGAAGCGATATCAATATATATTTAACCGAAAGAAAAATCAGCTTTCACACATTCAGTCACATCGCATTCATCATCTCAAACACCATCTGATTGCCTCAAATCATAAAAAAACACGCGCACCACACTAGCAGGCAAGAAAGAGCCCACAAGGCATCGACAACCATTACCTACAGTCGAAACCATTTATATTTCAATCATTCGAACGACTGTTCTCGAGAGAAGAGTTACTGCCGTGCTTTGGATGAAATACCGCAACTCATTGCGATAAAGTTTTGCAGAAGGAAAAAAATACATATAATAAGCAGTGGTGGAGAATAAGACGAAGAAAAAACAACAACAACAACCGGAGCAACGAGCAACAATTCTTATTGATATCTTATCACAAACGAGAGAAACAGAGAAAACTGTAGAAAAAAAAAAATATATTAATTACGTTGAACGGCGGCTTCGAATTGAGGAATTGAATCAAACGAAATTAAACACGGGAACGGCTTGCACTTCGACGAAGACGACGACTACGACGACGAAGAAGAAAACAAAAAGACGATAATCAAAAAAAAAAAACTGAGAAAAATTGCAGCAAATTTCCTATTCAACGGTACCTAAGCAACGACTCTTTCTCTCTCGCTTCAGCGCCAAACATATACAAGACCATTATTTCAAACCATTTGCAGTGTGGGCACACGGGGACGTCAAAACATCGTCCATCAATTTAAATCATCACCACCACCATCATCATCGTCATTATCAGGAAAATACTACACTTCAATAACAAAAAAAACCACTACAACATACACACACACAACATCTATCTCGGCCGAATCACTGCGAGAGAGTAATGGATTCCAACTGCTTTTATCATATTCTACTTTATATCTTCATCATTTTAAAAGGTAAGTGAGTCGTAACTTTTACCCAATGATGAAAATAGTTTTACTTTTCTTTAACCAACGACCACGACGACGAAGAATGAGTGCGTTCGAAAGGTAACGAAGAGTAGTTGTTATGTTTATTATTCTCGCATAACTTTTCGGTTGGTCCCGAAATGAAGATACGCTTAAACACCGGAGACCGGAGGTTTTTGGTGCTGATATCATAGTATGAAATGGGAATCTGAACTGCGACCCACCGATGGTCGAGTTGAGTAGTTTTTGCAATTAGTAAACTGTGTATAACAATAGTGGCAGTGCGGCCCTTATGGGGCACTCTCTCTCGTTTAAAATGCTCTTTTTCGCACGGGCTGGGTTGAATTGCAATCTCGACAATCAACCGCAATACAATGAGATAGAACAGTCTTTGCTACTTTGCGTTTAATGGTGCCCACTCACCCAATTGCTTGCTCTCCGAGTCTCACTCAACGAGTGTATGTATGTGTACGAATGTGCATCGGAGCACAAAAGGATCGAGTCATTTCACAAATTGCGCTTTTATTCTTTTGTTTGTGTGCTCGAACATGCGTTCCATTTCGATGTTTGCCAAAGCCGAAACGGTACACCACTTGACCGCGAAAACGATCCGCCAAAAACCCGACATAACACATACACACACATTTTGATAGCAGACAATGTGGCGGTGTACTACACTATTGCCACTGAACATTCGACACTAAAACGGCCCACTATATCAATTAAATTTTCGGCATGACGAGAACAGTGGTTTGGCGAATTTGCTGTTTAATTGATTTCGAATATGGCAATCACTCGCTATCCATTATAAATTTCGTACTATTTTAGCACTAAATTTCCATATAGCAAACGAAATATTCCCGGAGCCGTCCGCACTCCCTCCCCAAAACGCAGAAAATCAAGTGAAAATTCAGTACGAAACTTCAACAAAGACGCAAACAGCCACAACATTATGCTTTATAGCGCTTAAGTCGAGGGGATTTTCATTACACAATCAAAATATCACACGTGTACATGCCGTTGGTAATATAGAAAGAAATATTTTCACTCTCACTCGATTCGAATGCGTGAAAAAACCATGCGTAATTCTCTATTCACTACATGAAAAAGCGACGCTTGCCAAAGAATGCTAATCGGTTTCTATGAAATTGAAGTTTCGCAAATTGTCTCGAACCGCGTGTTGTTGCAAGTACAAAAGGAGCTTTTTTTCTGTTGTCTTTTTTTACCGATATGCGAATACATGCACAATGAGCGCCGTTTTTTTCTCATCCATTGAGCGGTTAACCCCTAGAACTGTGCAAACATTATGTAGAAAACCACCGGATTACCATTTTCATCATTAATTTTATGTAGATGACATCGGCCAAAACTTTTCACTCTGCCCGATGCTAAATAAACGATCCAACCATCCATTATGTACCTATTTCCACTGTATGTGTGTGTGCGTCGTGCAAACGAAAACAAGAACAAAGCAATTTTATGTAAAATACATTCATTACGACAATAACAACGTCAACAATAAAATAGAACACTCTTCAGTGGTTCCATTGAGTGTATAATGATACTGCGAACCACTGTCATACACAAAAAATGCTGTTTTTTTGTCATTGACAACGCGGCGCGTACACATTCGACTCTCTTTTGCACAAGCATTTAGTGGCACGAGGCAAAAGAAAGTGGGCAAGCAATGGAAGCGGCAAGAGTTTTTGGGCAACACGTCGCCAAGCCATAACAGCATGACATTGTACGCTGTGCAGTAGCATCAAACCACCATAAAAGCGAGACTAGTATACAGAGATAGAAAATTGGAAGAGTGGATCTGTATAGCCCTCACCCAATACCCAGCGATAATTCACTTAAAAACTTAGGAAATGATTATGACATGGTGTATGCTGCTGTCTTTTTTTTTCTATCCAAATTTGGAATGCGTGCGATATCGAACAAAGATGGTGCTCGTTTGCCTTCATTTTGCCATGGCCATTACTATTTTGCTGTTGGCCGATGTCATGTGTTTGAATACGATTCAGATCCGATTGGATATTTCAATACGTCCGATGAAATTGGTGTGTAGTCAAACACAATTTTTCTGCCTGAGAGATTAATCCCTTGGGCGAATTGCCAAACTAGAGCGAGAATAGAAAATTTTACCATTCCTCTTATAATAATGTATGCGCGATGTACGATCTATTGACGATGATTATTATGACCATCGCCAAAGGATGAAAACGAACACGCGCCCGCTCTTATTGAACGAAAACGTGCAGCTCTGGCTTCAGTTCGGGTGTTCGCATAAAAGATCATTTATTGGTCACAAACATTATATAGCCGATCCAAACAGCTTATTCGCAGTTGACGGCGTTGGCGGCAAACAACGGCTGGAATGGTGTTGTTGTTTTGCTCCCAAAAACTATTCAAATCGTATTTATATGCACGTTCACGTTCCTTGCATTATTATTACGCATTCATTCGATTTTCTTTTTAGTGCGGGCTGCTGGCGAGCGTTTGTCGTTGTCGAAGTTATGTTGTTTTCTTTCCGGTTTTGAACGCTTTTTCCAACATTTTCATTGCAAAGCTCTTCCGTCGTACAGACGGAAGTTGAGAAATTGCGAACGAAGAATGGGAGGCGAAAAAAGATTTGTTACTTTGTACATACCCAATCTCTCTTTCTCATTGGACTTTTTCCCGATCGCAAATGCATACACAAACAAATGCATTCAAGTTTTTTTGTGTGTGTATTCGGAACAAATTCTCTGCTGCTAATGCTGCTGGCTGTTTGTGCTTTATTTCGTTGTCGATTCGGGTTCGACGGATATTTGTTTAGCCACCACATGCAGGATGGCAATCTTCCTATTTTCTCGATGCCATAAATTTTGTTTTCAATAAATGCTTAATAAACACAGAAAAAAAACACAGAAAAAAACACAGAGCAGCAGCAGCAGCAGCACACGAAAAACTAACGAAATGCGCATGCATGCAAGCAATTTATTTTCTCGCTGTCCAACTTTATACGGTTATGCCTTATATCACACGGCACCCTGGAAAACGGTTAAAATTTCATAAATTTGGTAATTGTTTTTTATTGATACGGTTTGTGTACCAAACGCCCATTCGCTCGTGCTTTATGTCATTGCACACCATATTCAAACGAAGCACACGGATGACAGCATCCAAATATCGGTCGAATTTATTTTACACAACTATTTATTGTGCGATTATTGGAATGACCAAATTCAACGTTTCATTAAAAATTGAATGGTGTTGCCATTGCGATCGGCTCGTAAAATGAAATTCGGGTCATTTGGTTCAAAAATTTATTGCACTTTTTGACGGGCACAGCAAATTGAATACACTCCGTGTGTAAATCCATTGGATTCGCAAGGCAAAATGAGCAGCCATGAAATATTCACCGATCCGCAATAATGAAAAGCTGCACGTATGCGTTTGATTGCGAGAGAGAGAGAGAGAGAGAGAGAGAGAGAGAGAGAGAGAGAGAGAG